TGGGGAGAGCCGGGTTAATCGCATTGTTATCACATGCCCCCGTAGCAAAACCTCCCACTGTAAAACAATTGAAAGTTCAGGCACGTGATTTGGGGTTAGGGGGATATTCCCGAATGAGAAAGCCACAGCTTGTAGAACTGTTACGGCAGAATAGAGCTGTCGACCTACAGTTCGTGCGCACTGAGCGTGCTGTAGGCAACTATTTGAGAGGCTGGCGTATGCATGTTGATAGGAACATAGATATCGCAGATATCAAACCTCTGATAGCTGATAAGGTCAACCAGGAACTAACCAGTCTAGGAAGTATCAAATTTCAAATCACAGTTAAAATGTCACTCGATAAGCAGGTGGGGGGAGGTGTCACTGAGTACGTTCAGCCTTACTTCCGGGGTAAACAAGAGGTCGTGACCCATATAGAGACCATTGACGCATCAATCGATACTAGTTTTCAGCAGATAAGAGAATACCTAGAACGCTACACACACTTGGGGTCCGGGTGGACTGTAGATAAAATCGATAATGTCTATCTAGACATAGCTAACTACGTGCCGTTCAGAGGCGGGTCATACCTAGACTTGCCTCCCTACTATAGGAAAAAACATGCCATAGTCAACGTCAGGAATAGAGGAGACGATTGCTTGAGGTTAGCTATCAGGTCAGCCTTGTTTCCAGCTGACACTAATTCGAACAGGCCTTCTAGTTATCCCCAAGACGATGGGCTCAACTGGGATGGTATAGATGAACCCACCCCATATCCCAGATAACTAAAATAGAAAAACAGAATAATCTAGCTATAAATGTCTTTGGGCACGAAGGTAACACAACAATAGTGCACAGGGTCAGCCCAGTGGTGGGGAAACGTGTTATCAATATATTCATGATCCAGCGAGGTGACAAGTACCACTACGCTTGGATAAAACACTTTAGCAGGCTGTTGTATGACCAATCGGCACACAGAGAAAAGACCCACTTCTGCGAACGGTGCCTACATGGCTTCACACGAGCTGATTTATTAGAATCCACGGGAGGATTGCCAAGGTGTGGGGCAGGCGGCTATACGAGTCGACATGCCTAAGGAAGGTGACAATATCCTAAAATTCGGTAACCACAAGAACCAAATGTCTGTGCCTTATATCATATACGCCGACTTTGAAGCCTTGGTTAAACCAGTTGATACTCCCAATGCTCTACCCACAGGTGAGAGCTTCACCCACAAAACACAAGAGCATGAAGCCTGTGGGTTTGGATACATTGTCGTCCGTTGTGATGGGGAAACGAAAGCTCCCGTAGTGTATAGGGGCCCTGACGCGGCTGAAAGGTTTCTAAAGTGTTTGCAGGAGGAAGAAAAAATTATTAGGAATGCACTGTATAGAGTCGCTCCCATGCGTATGACCCGAGCCGACAGGCTAGCTCACGCCTGTAGCACTAACTGTCACGTGTGTGACTCACCACTGAATGGTGATTCGGTGAGAGATCACTGCCACGTAACCCGGTAAAGTATAGAGGCGCGGCTCACAGCACGCGTGTAACCTCAAGCTTAGAATCAACCCTAAGACAATAAACATCCCGTTGTCTTTCACAACTTGAGAGGGTACGACTCTCACTTAATCATGCAGGCCATCGCGAAAATCGATGGTAATATAACGTGCATTCCCAACAACATGGAGAGATACATCTCCTTCAGCTTAAACGGCCTTAGGTTCATAGATTCAGTACAATTTCTATTGTCTTCATTAGACAGTCTGGTCAAGGCCAGCGATACCTTCCCTATCACCGACCGATACACAGACGCCGAGACTAGACCCCTGCTTATGAGGAAGGGTGTGTACCCTTATGAGTACATGGATAGTTGGGTCAAGTTCACCGAGACCAGACTACCCCCCATCAGAGAATTTTACAGCAATCTGACAGACTCGGAAATATCCCAAGACGATTACTCGCACGCGATTAACGTATGGAATAAACTAGGTTGTAAGAACCTGGGGGATTATCACGACCTGTACTTGAGGACAGATGTACTGCTGTTAGCCGACGTGTTTGAGACGTTTAGGCGGACATGTTTCAAGCAGTATAAACTCGACCCCGCATGGTATTACACCAGCCCAGGTCTGTCGTGGGATGCCTTGCTTAAAAGACCGGAGTTAAGTTGGAATTGCTTACAGATTATGACATGCACCTATTCATTGAGAAAGGCTTGCGAGGTGGGATCTCCATGGCAACCAAGCGTCGCGAAAGCAAATAATCAATACGTTAAGGGCTACGACCCTAGCAAGCCAACCAATCACATTCTCTACCTCGGCGCCAACAACCTGTATGGCTGGGCCATGAGCCAGTATCTACCCACAGGGGGTTCGAATGGGCATGAGTCACAGGATCGCCCGATTTCGATGTTATGAGCATCGCACCAGATTCGAATAAAGGTTATATCCTCGAGGTTGACTTGGAATACCCCAAGGCATTACACACATCACACAACAGCTACCCCTGGCCCCGAACGTATGAGGGTTAACCCAGAACTGGATGTCTGAGTACCAACATAACTTATTAGGTGGGCGGGTGGCAGACGTTGAAAAACTCGTGCCTAACTTAATGAATAAGACCAAGTACATCGTTCACTATCGCAACCTACAGCTGTACCTGTCGTTGGGTATGAGGCTGACCAAAATACACAGGGTGCTCGTGTTCAACCAGAGCCCCTGGATGGAGAACCATACATCAGAATGAACACAGACCTCCGAAAGCTTGCCACCAGTGACTTTGAGAAAAATCTCTACAAGCTCATGAACAACTTCGGTGTTTGGTAAGACTATGGAAAACCTGAGGAAACGCGTGACCGTGAAGCTGGTTCGGTCAAATGAGGAAGACAAGCTCAGGAGACTGATAGCCAGTCCGGCATTCAACCGTAGCAAGATATTCACCGATGACCTAGTTGCCCTACACATGAAGAAAAGCCACATAAAATTCAACCGGCCTGTTTACGTGGGGATGAGCATCCTCGATTTATCCAAACACCTGATGTACGACTTTTACTACAACGAGCTTAAGAAACAGTACGACGACAGGTGTGAAGTGCTGTACACTGACACGGATTCCCTGCTGATGGAGATTCGAACCGAGGACGTGTACGAGGACATGAAAAACACCTCGATTTGTATGACACCAGCGACTACCCTAAGGACCATGCCATACACAGTGCGGTAAATAAAAGGTCCTAGGTAAGATGAAGGATGAGTGTGCTGGCACGCCCATAGCTGAGTACATAGGGTTGAGGCCTAAGATGTACTCCATACTGAAGGCCGACAATGGTGAAATCCGGAAGGCTAAGGGTGTTAAGAAGTATGTGGTGAAACAACACATCAAACACGCCAGATTCAAGGAAGCCCTGTTCAAGACCCGTACCTTTAGGCATAAAATGAACACACTTAGAAGTGATGGTCATAAGATATACGGACTGACTATAAACAAGACGTCCCTGTCGCCTATGGACACTAAGCGTTGGATAGCTATTGATGGGATAAACGCGTGCAGCGTATGGACATGAGAAAATTGAACATGTCGCGGAACCAGAAAGTTTGAGGCTATTTACTATAGCCAGCGTGGGTACTGGAAAGGAGCTAAGCTGTAGATAAGCTGGCTAAAATGGCGCGAGTACCCGGAGGAGGCCAAAGCGTGGCTTGAAAAACAAGCCCTGTGGCAGATCTATTTACGGCACCACGCGCTCGTGCCTAGAAGGAGGTTCGGTATTAACATACCTAATAGCGTTCACCAGGCAGACCTACTGTTCCTACCCACGACAAGAGGTACAAGTATGCCTTAACCGTAGTGGGCGTAGCCAGTCGCTACAAAGGAAGCCGAGCCCTTGACGCTTGCGAAGATTCGGCCCAGGTAGCCAGAGGATTCGACGCATATACAAAGCGCAGTCCGCTGGCGTGGCCAACAGAGCTGCAAGTTGACCCCGGACGGGGAGTTCATGGGTGACGTGTCACAACTGCTAATAAAACACGATACAAAGGTCAGGCGTGGCGCGGCTGGAGCCCATCGCAGCCAAGCCATAGTTGAGAGATTTAATAGGACTTTGGCTGAGCGCTTATTTGGACATCAGTATGCGAGGGAGATGGCAACCCGGAAAACGATCGACTGAATGGGTCGTGAGGTTACCCAAGGTGGTGTCGGCAATCAACCATGAAGTCACCGGCTCACTGATAAGAAACCGGCAGACGCTATCAAACTAAAATCAATAGTTGCAGAGTCGGCTGCTCCATTGCGTGGAAAAGAGAAACAGATACCAGATAGGGCCCTAGTGAGGTATCTATACCAGCCGGGGGAACACGAGGGTGATAGCCGTAAAAAGCGAGCCACCGATCCTATATGGTCAGTCAAAACTTACAACATAGATAAAGTGGACATCAAAGCAGACGAGCCTAACTTGTACTACTTGAGGGATGGGCCAGGTAGGGGGTTTGTAAGAGCGGAATTATTGATCGTACCGTACGGCACAGTGTTACCTCCAGCATAGCGGTGTCCCATTACTCCAGCCATGCCCCGGTGCGCGGCTAGGAGGTGCGTTCGCATCCCCAACTTTTGTAGTAGGGGTAATGGTAGCAAGAGCTAAGGAGGTCCGACCAAAGCCTTACTTGTGAAATAAGGCTTTGCAGAGGCTTTGGTTGAAAGTGATCCAGAACCGCTATCGGCCCAAACTTTTTCATAGTAGGGGAAATGGTAGCAAGAGCTAAGGGCCGACAAAAGCCTTATTTTACCAAATACTGTTTTTGACAAGGCTTTGCAAGATTTATCAAGATTCCCTGTGTGGTATGCTTTGAATTTCTTAAAAGCAGATAAGTTTCTTCCTTATTGAATGTTGAAAGTGATCCAGAACCCCATTGTATATACTACTTTGTTTTGGTGTTGCATGAAAGCATTACATGGATGTTTGTCCAGTGCAAGTCCTTCATTTATGAGTGTATGGACAGTTCATAGATGTATTTCCCTCCGCTTTGTAGGCTTACAATAGAGTGGGCCTCGCCACAGTCATCACGTCACATGCCCTGGAAGTGGATACAACGCCCCTTCTGTCGGGTCAAGTGTCTGATGGGAGATCATCAGCTAGTCCTCAGCAGAGATGAAGGATGAAGATTACATTACCAGGATGGAGGTCATGGGAGCCCATTGGGAGGGGTTTTCTGATCCCCACTCTACCGTTTCTCACTTTTTGGTGAAGGTTGGGACCTGCTCTGGATGTGAGGACACAATAGCGGAATTTGATACAGGTGTAAGCACAGGTGGGTTAGATTGGGTACCACTGATCATGTACTACAAATTCAAGAAAGAGAGAACAACAGGCAATGACCTACTACGTCTTGGCCATAACGAAAATAGACATTGGTCGTCACCAATCTCCTACCCAGAGTTCCATGCGGCCAGCCATCATAGTACCTCTGCCACAGGCCAGAAAAATGTGACGATTCGTCACATCTTGCACCGTCCATTCAATATAATGTACATATTTCTTAACTCTTTTATTTTTGACGAGTCTACACATCTAACTAAACATCTTTAATAGAATGGTTTAGTTTCACTGAGAAAATATCATAAAACATGTAACACTATTTCGATTTGCGTAGTGATCGTTTGTTTACATAAGTTGTACGGTTCCACGTGCTGTCATCGGGCTTCCACGGAGAGCAAACGATGCAGCCAGTTTGATATCTAAATATGTACCGTCATAGACCTAATTGTCGCAGTTGTGGAAGAATATATATGTAACAATGTAAAACATTATGAAGAGAGCACCGAAAAGCTTTCGCGGAGTCCAGTCTCTTCTTATTATGAATATGCTGCAGCGTTTGATTACAAACAAGAGAAAATTCGGTCACGTGATATGCAAATTAGCCTGTGGCAGTGATGTTATGTAAAGTCATCGCAGCCGGAGTGTGTGGTCGTCACATGTCAGGAATAAGTGTTTATCATTTAACTGTGGGTCAGTGCTATTAAGGTAGATTAGGTCTGAGTATATTGTCACTTAAATCAATGTTGTTATACCTTCTGAAATCCAGACGAGAGCTACACGATATATACACTGATACATTATGGCGTCTTTGTGAAAACTTTCGTATTCTTGGATGCTAGCTTCATATTCATTGAGCTGCTGAGAGTCAACAATTCAAATCTCTCTCAACATTTTGCGACTGACCACGATTGGTGTTTAACCCGAATGAAAGGACTACAATTACAATTACAACTCGAAGACTGGTGCACCTGAGTATGCATATATCAATGGGGTTGGTGCTCAGGTTAAATCCTCCATCCAAAATAAAGTTATTGAAATCTTGTAAACTGTTGCACAACCTGTTTTTAATATACCACACTGAAACGCCTCCATGCTCTCGTTCCACTACCAGAAAGAAGACTAAGCTAATATAGGTAACGAGTTCGGCTATTACCGTTCGGCTAAACCACAAGCTAACGGACCGCAAAATTAAAAACAGAATAGCATTTTCTCCTAACTGATACAGCAATTTAATAACTGTAAGCTTTTTTTTCAGATGTAGTCTTCCATCACATTATGTTCGCTGAGGGTATCAGGTATTACGTGACAGTGACAGCTTGTAACATGGCGGGACTGTGCAGCAGCGCAACATCTGATGGTGTTATCCTGGATCAAAGTCCTCCTGTCCCTGGCAGCGTCATGGACGGCACACAAGACCGAGACTCCCAGTACCAGGCATCCAGGTCCACTCAGACTCCTGCTTACTGATTTTAATATCAAGGTTGAACCCTAACCCTAACTCTGGCACACAAGACCGAGACTCCCAGTACCAGGCATCCAGGTCCACTCATACTCCTGCTTAGTGATTTTAATATCAAGGTTTAACCCTAACCCTTACCGTGGCACACAAGACCGAGACTCCCAGTACCAGGCATCCAGGTCTACTCATACTCCTACTTAGTGATTTAAATATCAAGGTTTAACCCTAACCCCTATTCTCGGAAGGATCCTAGCCCGATATCCTAACTTTGATCCTAGGGTCTAGGATAGGTGTCCTACCTTATTCTCGAAAAGTATCCTAGAGCTAGGATATCCTAACTTCGGACAAATACTAGGATATATTCTGACTTGTCCTAAGTCTATCTTAGTGGAAGTCAACATGGTGTGGTTCTCGTTTGTTCACCAATTTTAACATTGTCAAACAATTACTCGCCTAAATTACATTTGAATTTACATTCTAAGATGCTTATGTGAAAGATCAGTACTTTATCAGACGATAATGTGCACTTTTGCATTACGTCACAATGTATTGGCGTCACTGCGCCATTCTACTTTGCCCCCTCGTAATCGAACACTTTTGCATTACGTCACAATGTAAGCGACGTCACGACGCATGTCAGTTGCCATCGCCTCGTACAGCCTCCTACAGTAAACTACTCCATTGCATCCCGTGTCTCGGTTTGCAGTTGCTTCACTCGGCTAATATTACTGGTGGAAACATTACGTTTATGTTTTACGACGTTTAAAATGTGTCAATTCGACTCACAAGTTTTCAGCGACACGGTAACGTTCGCAATGTTTACATTCCCACAATGCAATCGTGGAATGTCGCTTGACAACTAAGCTTCATCTGGATGTACTGATCTAAACGTACGTTGGTAGTTGAAATGCGACGTTCATATTGCCCCATATGGTTTACGTTAATCACAGATGTAGTTAGAATAATTTAGAGAAGATATTTAATCCGAACGTAAACCGTCATCAAACTGTTTATCATTTGTTTTTTTCTGGTACGTCTTAAGGTAGGGGGAAGACACATTAATAGAACAGGGCGCCAGTTAGCCATGTGCGAGGATTCTTAATTTAGGACACCGACCCCACCGACTAAGCTTCATCTGGATGTACTGATCTAAACGTACGTTGGTAGTTGAAATGCGACGTTCATATTGCCCCATATGGTTTACGTTAATCACAGATGTAGTTAGAATAATTTAGAGAAGATATTTAATCCGAACGTAAACCGTCATCAAACTGTTTATCATTTGTTTTTTCTGGTACGTCTTAAGGTAGGGGGAAGACACATTAATAGAACAGGGCGCCAGTTAGCCATGTGCGAGGATTCTTAATTTAGGACACCGACCCCGTCGTTTGTTTTCTGCCTTAGAGTAATCGAAATTATCCTTAGAAAGTATTAAATTTGGCTTCTTAGAAAAGAAATACAGTTTGCTCTACCACCATGTATAGTGTAATAAAGCACACTTTCGCCCTGAACTATTATAGTTAAAGCACGAGGACGCTTGTTATAGTTAAAGCACGAGGACGCTTGCGCAAACGTCATCGTGCTTTAACTATGATAGTTCAGGGCGAAAGTGTGCTTTATTACACTATACATGGTGGTAGAGCGAACTGTATTTCTTAAACAACACACAGTTTTTATGAGTTAAGAAGAGTTTTTTTGTGTATGTTTTATCAATTTATCGGTAATGAATAGACACATTTCTTGCAATGCACATATTCTTTTGATCTACAAAAGAGATTTGTTCAATTCTTACCTATACTCGGCCTTTTTAATCACAGCATTTCTCTTTTCTGTCACATTGCCGTGAATTGTCAATGTCAAGGCCAGCTTGATAGGGGAAGTAGCTCCTGTTTATTTCCTAGGTTTATTTTCAGTTTGTGAGATGACGCATAATGAGAGTTCAAGTCATGATTTTCATTAAAAAAATAAGTATATTGAAAATATTTTTGCACATGTCTTTGATATCCTTATTGCTTTTTTGGCAGACTTTCAAACTCTGAAGTAAAATTGTTATTGCCTTGTCAAAAAATGAATGGGAGAAAAAAGTAAATTACTTCCAATCTGATACCAGAAAAAGTACATTGGCTAGTAACTAGGTACAACCATGCCTTGTCAAAAACTTCAAAACTACTATAATGTGATGAGAATATCGAATAATTTCTTCTAGATCTACTAAGTCCATCAAAAGCTGAATTTCACCGCTTTCAAGCTTTTTACTTCCATTTCTAGTCTTACCATTTATGTTGTAAACGAGATAGTAGTTGCCCTTATATTATGTATTTTTATGGAATGAACATGGGTAATATTTAGGGGAATCCCCAACTTAAAGTAGGTTTTTCTATCTCACCTACTGAAGAGCTCGCTATCCTAGCCAGGATAGGTAGCACAAGTTAGGACAGGGATAGGATCGTTTCGAGAATGGGTCTTATCCTAAAGGTATGGTGGCCTAACTTGTGTCTAAACTACATAGGGTCTGACTTAGCTGGGACACTTTCGAGAATATGGGCCTGGCACACAAGACCGAGACTCCCAGTACCAGGCATTTAGGTCTACTCATGTTTCTGCTCAGTGATTTTAATATCAAACTTTATTAATTTAAAATATGCATTATAAATTAGTATACTCAGCAATACTCCCTTGTATCACCCGGAGACCATTAAATACAAAAATGATCTTGTGCGTATGTGTAACTATGTTTCTATTCATAGAACGTTCCTGGGCTGCAAGTGGCATGGATTCCAGGACACAGAATCAGGTCTGGACCACTATGAATGGCAGGTGGGGACCACACCAGGAGACAGTGACATTCTCTCATCACAACATGCTGCCCTTAAAGAGGTGGCATTTCTCACACTGAACGAAAGTCAGATGCTACCCATCGGAAACAGGATGTACATAACAGTTGCAGCGTTCAACAAAGCAGGTATAAATGATGTAGTGATTCATTATTGATAATAATAATTTCAGCTTATAAACAATCCATTCTCTGCTTTAAAATCCATCTATTTTCTATAGCACCAGCAGTGATGAATATTTTTTATAGCACCAGCAGTGACTGAATGTATTAAATAATTATCAGATTCTTCAGGGAAGGCAGTTTCATACAATTCTACTAATGCTGTACTACCTGTCACCGCTGCAAATGTCTGTATCGATTAACAACTCCCACGGTTCCAACATAGTAAATTTAATTCTGTGTTATCTGTGTACACTGTTTTCTGCTACTTCTGCTGTTGCCGGTTGAAAACCACACTGAAACTGCACAACATTGCATGCCTCTGTCACCAAGTTATCTCCCCTTTTTAGTCATGTGACTTGCCCTAGATCACATGATCTCAATCTAAATAAAGCTAAAGCATTTGACGAAACACTTTTTTTATAATGGCGTCATGTCACCATTACGAAATGAAGTTAGTCATTTTCGTTTCTCCACACTTGGTGATGAATTTGGTATTGTATGTTTGTATTGTATGTTGGTATTTTATGTGCTTATGACTCTAGGGGTGTTCACCACATCAACATCGAACGGCTTCATCATTGACAACAGCGCACCTGAAGTTGTGAAGGCCCCTGATCTTGTGGAAGGACATGGGTCCTTGGTTGCCATGACGCTGATCAGTCGGGCCACTGTGAAGGTCAGCTGGGAGATGAAGGACGAGGAGTCTTTCATAGAGAGCCAGTACATCTCAATTTCCTCTCATCAGCTAGGGGAGTTTAACTCTTCCTTGATGGAGGTGAGAGCCAACAGTTAGGTGTTAAGTGGGACTATGTAATATCAGTCCCTGAAAACAGGAAAGTAACAAAGATTCGATTTGTTTAAAGCATGAGTAACAACATAATGAACGCGTGTCATTAAGTAATGCTCTCTGTCTCAAGTATTTAACAACCCTAACCCAGAAGACACGGTTTGTCTTCAGATGCCAGGACCTTTGAGAGAATATACTTTCACACAGCTGAATCTTCATGATGGAAGTCATTACATTGTGAAGGTTATATCATGCAACATGGCTGGTCTCTGTACACAGAGTCAGACTGGAAGCATCTTGGTCGACAGCTCCGTACCAACAACAGGTAAGTAAATATTTATCATAAACATTGAGGTGAACATAATTTCTCTTATATTATGATTTGTATTGTGTTTTAACGACATTAATCTCACAATCATATTCATCTAACTCGAGCTCACCTTTGCAGGGGTTCTTGCTGTACAAACGGACCATGCTGCCAAATTGTCAAGGAATCAGTTTGGCTGGATGACGTGGACAAGAAGCAGTCTTAGCCTTGCTTGGCTTGGGTTTGCTGATCTGCACTCTGGCATTACATAACTACAGTTGGCTCCAGACCATTTGCTACAAATTTAGCACAGGTTTCGTCATTTGAGAAATTATGTTCTCGTCACGATATGGCTGCAATATTGCCGATGTGACGTTAAATAATAACTCACTCACTCACTCATTTGTGAAATTGTATCAAGAATGCCACCGTCCTAAAGTTTTCAATGTTTATAGTTCAGGGTTTAGTGGATCTGATTTCGATTTTATACGTCCATCATAATGTACAAGATGTACTTAATGTAATATCTCTATGGAATATATGTTTTGAAGGATGTAAATGGTGTTGTTTTTACTTGAATGTGTTTATCGTGCACGACGTCCAGGACCCGTTGGCGAAGGAATATATGTGTTGAAGGATATTAACGGTATGGTTTATCTGAATGTATTTATTGTGCACGATATCCAGGACCCGCTGGTGAAGGTATACCACAACATCAGTGGAGTGGACCTGGAGGATGAGGGAATTGTGCAGACATTCAACATCAGTACCAAGGACTTGTCTTCTAGATCTTCTGTATTTGCCACCATGTGGGCAGTAAACGGTGTAAGTACAAGTTGACTTTCCTTCTTACCAGTTGTCATTTACATTTTCGTCCTTCCTCCTTCCTTCCTTTCTTTGTTGTTCAATTCCTTTGGTTATTCAGGTAGGCCTCAAGAGCAGCCCCCTCCATTCCGAGCTGGTTCTGGGGAGACGGGGGTGAGCTAGAGTTGGTGAGACGGTGCAGCTCCTACAACTGTGAGGGTCACTGTGTCTGTGCTGCCCAGGACAAGATGTGTAGCACCAGTCAAGGATGCAGATTCCTGGACAATGGTATGCTTATATATTGTAAGAGGGATGAGAACCACATCAGTAACTAACACCAGACCATGTCTTAATTGTGTCTCTCTACTTTACAGTTTAAACAAAGGTTTTAAGAGATATACATACATACATACATACATACATACATACATACATACATACATACATACATACATACATACATACATACATATACATATACATATACATATACACATACATACATACATAGAGACATTTATATAGCGCTAAAATCAAATAAGCACTGCTCTAAAGCGCTTTGAGTTCCATATCTATACAGTGAGATTCAGTAGGCTTGGCTAAACAGATGCGTTTTTAGTTTGGTTTGAAGAGTGAGAGTTCTTGTGAGGCCCGTATGTTGATTGGGAGTTTGTTCCATAAGAAAGGTGCTGCTGATGCAAAAGACCGTTCACCGTAAGACTTGGTTCTGGAGGCTGGTACCACCAGGAGATGGCTGTCGGCTGACCGCAGACTGCGCCGAGGTTGCTATGGCTGGATAAGACTTGAGATGTAGTCAGGAGCAAGACTGTGGAGAGATTGGAAAGTGACGAGCAGAATCTTGTAGATGGTTCGGTAGCGAACAGGTAGCCAATGAAGTCTCTTCAAGACAGGGGTGATGTGCTCGAACTTGCGAGTAAGAGTGACCACACGAACCGCTGCATTCTGGACCTGCTGCAGTTGCTTGACAATATGAGCTGGGAGACCATAGAGGAATGAGTTGCAGTAATCATGGCGAGATGTGATGTAGGCCTGAACTAATGCTGCTGCTGTTATCTCATCTAGATATCTTCGGATCTTTCCAATATTCTTGATATGGTAGTAGGACCGCCTGCAGATTGCTTTGACATGGGGCTTAAGGGGCATGTGGGAATCAAAGATCACTCCAAGATTACGTGCTTCCATGGCCGGGCTGACAACGCAATCACCTATGGAGAACAGAAAACAGTGAAATGACGAAAACAGATATTGAATCAAGTCTGTCTCTCTCGTTCTCTCTCTACATCATGTCCAATCTATTTAATTCCAGGCATGGGGAATTCTTCACTGGCGGTCAGAGACACCACTGATCTGAAATCCCTTGAATCTCCTGTGTTGGGGAATGACGTGGACTTCTCTCCCTTTGACTCATTCCTTGCAGCATCATGGACGGTAACCAACACAAAATCCACACAACCTGTGAGGTCAGTGGCATCGTCTTCTTGAATCCTGCCACATCCTTCACTTATGTTACATCTAACATAGATAAAGGCCAACAATGTTATTTGCAGGTACGAGTTCAGTGCCGGGCGTTCAAGTGGGACATACCCGACAGGAATATATACGGAAAGTATCGAACGAGTGTGGTTTGATGCAGGGTCTGTAATGTCTGCAGTCATAACCCTACCCAAAGGTAAGAGGATAAATGGCGGGTCGTTTTATGTTGTCTACCATTTACATTGTTCGTTGTAACTGCATGTTTAATGTCCTCATGTGCATCTTGTTTCCAGTGACATTTAAGACGTTGGGAAGTACAAAAAGACAAACTTAATGGATAACAACTTCTTTTGTTTCGTGAGTGCGACATTTCTATTTCAGATTCCTGGAATCTGTGTTAAAACATCACAGTTGTGAAATACAAGAAGTTGTTATCCATAAAGTTTGTCTATCCTCACATGTAATCATAGTTGTGAAGTTTGTATTGGAATGTTAACAGGGCGTGAGCTGACACCAGGACTCAGCTACAGTGTATTTGTGCGGGCATGGTATGACGAGAACACATACAACATCTACAAATCCGACGGCACCCTCATTGATATTACAGCACCAAGAACAACTTCACTGCAAGGAGTAGCGGTGGGTGACTTGCACAAAACAACTATCGGAATCCATGCATATTCTATCGATCACTTGTGAACCATACGAAACGTACCAAGTACATCATGACAAGAAGAATATCTACACTTCATATGAACAAACTGACACATGTCTATAGTTGATTACAATTAGCCTATTCGATAGAGCCGTTTTGCTTCAAAGTCACCATCCGTTGCTTTTCGTTACAGATGAAAGAGCACATGGAATCTGGAGACAGGAAAGATATCGACTACCAGCATCACGTAGATAGGATATACTTGAGCTGGAGGAACGTACTGGACACACAGTCAAGACTCCTAACATACACGGCTTACACAAGTACTTCACCCGGCGGTATGTTTCTAAAACTTGTTAGTTTAGGACAACCAAGAATCTGTTGCAATGCTTTCGCTTAACTCTGAATACTCAGAAATACATTCAGGTTTATTGTTTCAGGTTTCAGCATACATGCGTCGTCTGACATGACTGCCACAAACTGCACAGTTTCTGGGTTGTCTCTGGAATCGGGAACAACATACTACTCCAATGTACTTGCATATAACAAAGCCGGATTGGTTGCTTGGACATTCTCATATGGGGTGCAGATCGATGTCACGGCACCAGTAGCAGGGACTGTAGAAGACTGAGACGGTAGGCATAGGATTTCTGTACCATTCATCCATGAAAGAATATAGAATGTAACTTGTAAGTGGCATGTCATATTAAGTCGGTCAACATATTTTCGTCTTTCCTGTCACTGTCCAGGGTCCGGTGATGTTGACTACCAGTCTCTCTTTTAAGAGTGGTTTACAAACGTCCCTCTACAAGGCAAGCGGATATTCTTTGTTAATATGTTGACTGGTCTTTAGTTAACGCCACACTCAGTGGTATTCCAGCTTCATGTATTTGGCGGCGTGTAAATACTTGAGTCTGGACTAGAGAATCTAATGATTGAACTCATGAGCATCGATCAATCCCAGTGAGATACGGTGATATACATCAAGTCAGCGAGCCTGACCATTCGACTCCATTAGTAAGCTTACAAGAAGTATAGGTGCAGATTCTTTGGGACTGTTTGTTTCGAATCAACGTGTAGTACTATGTTCGGTTATTAACGTAGTGTGATTCATACTTGTTTTCATTTTGTACTAGTCAAAACTGTTTATGGTTGTCTACGGACTATGTTGACACTAGTGTTTTACCTGTTCTGTTATTGTATTCATTACTTTTATAAATTGGGTTTATGTTGATATTAATACCATGTTACAGCGATTTCTTACTGACAAACATTTTAATTGCGTTTTATGCCATGAATTCAATTGATGAATTCGCTCGTCACGCCGAAGGCCAGGGGTTCGATTCCCCACATGGGTACAATGTGTGAAGCCCATTTCTGGTGTCCCCCGCAGTGATTGTGCTGGAATATTGCTAAAAGAGGCGTAAAACCATATTCACTCACTCACTTTCCAGGCAGGATACCAGGCAAAGGTGACATCAAGATGTTTCAGTTGGTTTCCCGAAATCAAACAACGGCTAACTTTGACATCACAAACCTCAATATTAGCCTTCCTCTGAAGATATTCACAACAGTTCGTCGTATCAACACCGTGGGTTTGATGTCGTCAGCCGTCTCCGATGGCGTAACTCTGACACATGGCCAACTAAAGCCTACAATGGCGGTCATCTTGGAAGACAACGTCATGTACTTCTATCAACGTGGTCAATGCCTTAAAAACAACACAGTTCGGATGCAGTGGGTCCGGTATGACCTCCAGACAACCGTGGTAAGTTTAACGTGCATCTATTTGTGTGTGACAGGAATCTGACACATGCCATTTAAGTTGATGAAATTACCTGTCATTTACACTAAAGCTAGCGTGTTGTTAGCAATGACGTGTGTATGTTGACACTGAACTTCAGATTAAGGTAACAGATGAGTTCGGCACATATCAGACCAGAGTAGACACCGACTATGGGTTCGCCTCGTTCTGTGGGCTGCACTCCAACAACCTGGCCTCTTACCCAGTTGCAGTATCTCAAGACAACGTGCTCGGGACACAAAGGGAAACAACTCTTCTTAACCTTACCACCCATGGCAATCCTCCGACAATAACAGGTTAAATTGTTCTGTTTTATTTCAACTTATTTACCATTCTCAGAAAATGTAATTGTCTTTGAAGATAAACACGTTTGTATTTAATTAATTCAAGGACTATCTATTATTATTAGTGAGTAATCAGATGGGAATACTACATTGCTATTTTGAGACTGTTCATACTCCACATGGATAGAGAGATGATTCGTGATGCCCATTGTCACGGTACATGTGGAACATTGCTAAGACTCACTCTTCATAAAAATTGTTACGTACTTAATATTTGTAGGATCTGCTGCAATAGCTATGTCTTGGAGAGGAAAGCACATCTCCCTAAACTGGGATGGGCTGTTCGTCTCTCCGTGGAAGGATCTTCAATATGAGCTTCACATTGGAACAGTGGTTGGAGGAGCAGACATCTTGGAGGGGGTTCTCACGAAGAGAACGGAAACAAACCTGACCGTGATCTCCTCCCATTCCATACCAAAATCTCTATTTGCAGCTGTGACCGCAATAGACCCGTGTGGTTATAGTGCTCACTATCAGCAAGAAATAAAACTTTAAACATGGCCACACATGAATTGAATTAAACACATATATGTAAAGTATACACCGGCTTTATGAAACATATGTGGACCGAAGTTTTCTCTTTTTAAGGATGCATAATAATTATTAGCAATATTGTTCGCCATGAATAATTTACCATATAATTATGATTGATGATTCAATGATGCAAGCGTGTGCCATTACACTATATTTTGCATCGTGACACACAAAGCCTAATATGTATCTGAAGGTAATAACTATATATACCCGAGTGGTACTAAACGTTTGTAGTTCTTGAAAGGCATTTTGAAGTTTGACGAACATGAACACATGTCACGTTTTTTATCAGAATGCACACGATGAAGGAGCAAGAATAAGCTCTAAAACTTCGTATAAAGAATGAAATAAAAAGAGGTTGTTTTCCATAAAAACGTGTAATGTATTCAAAACTTTCGTACATTATTTACAGTCATTTTAGAACAGTTTGGATGTTCATGCCAAACCATCATTCAGTAGTAGCGTGTTTTCGCATTATTGTTGACGTCTTTTGGTAAAGATAAACAGAGTCTGATACTGTCATGTAGTGTTGATTAAGACGTTCATTGAGGCATGCATTTGTTGTATATTAAACAGTGACTATGATGCACTAATGACTCAAATGAATGTTGAACACCACAGCTAAAATAGTAACTGTGCACTGTACATGTGTGTCCATATTCCCATCTGTTGTGTATATCAATACTTCTTCGAAAGAATAAATCCTCGAGTTTAGTTAGCAGTTATGACAATTATTTCGGGAAACTTTTTGCCATATCATAAGCTTGAGAAATCACGCTTCACCTCTTACTGACGTTACGAACAAACGTATATTAAACAAAAGAAGTTTATATGACCATACGATTATAATCAATCATGTCATTTGTATATTGTCTTCTGTAATTAAACTGTTTTAGATTTACATACTAGTTTTTAAATTCATATCTGTGATATTCTAGTTGGTTTTACTGTCCTTGCAGACACGTTTTTTAAAACTTAACTTTCATTTATTTTAAATTAGTACTTGTTTTCAGTCACAAAATATTAACTCACTCACTCAATCAATCATGTCATGCTTGGAGAGTAAAATGATTAAGGCTTTCGTGTAAAATCATGCTGACGCATACTGATAGTCAAAATAATCCACACTCAAGCATTTGTTTATACTGCATGGCATTACTAATCCGAAAAGAAAATAATAATAATCCAAGATATACATTGCTTTTCATTTCATATTCAGTTTGAAATATAAACGCACTTTCTGTATCGACTGTTTGAGCTTGAAATATTAAGGATGGGTGAGTGAGTTATAGTCACATTGGCAATACTTCAGCCATATCGTGACTTTAAAAGTTATAACTTCATAATTAACGCAATTAAATTATAAAAACCTGCGAACGAAGGACAGTAAAACCAAGTAACATTTCACAGTATTAAAATATAACTGACATCTCTCTCTAAAATTGGATTTCAAATTAGTGAAATATTAAGACTCTTTACTGTTGTGTCACTGACTACCAACAAAAATAGGTTTTTTTTGTTGCTGAGACTTTTTTTTAAAATAACCAGCCAAAGATTTGGCCAATATCAACGCTTATATACGGAAACTCCTCTTGGACTACAAGAAGCATGTAGAGGAAAAACGATGATACTTTCAGTTTCATATTAATTGATGTATGTAATTGCTACAAGTAATTGATTGAAATGAAGATATGAAGCATATGTCTATCTCAGTTCAAGCTGAATATTCGTTTGGCGATGTTGTATAGCCACCTATGGATGTGCTAGGATTGATAGGAAATATTATATTTAGATAGTGCAACAGTTAGAATAGTTTTGCAATAATTTAAACTGTTTTTGCAACACTCAAATTTCTGTGATTCTCTTTCAGTACATCCTTCTACAGAAGTTGGTAATAGATCTCTAGCAATAGTCTTTTCAAGAAAAATAACATTTTATGACGTAATGATAATAGTAACCTATTATAACAAGCAGTTGTCACTAAGGTGACATAATCAACTTAAATTACGTGAAGGTTACCAAAATCGACTGGGTCCTGCGCCTTTCAAATATAAAGCTTGGTGTCAAATATGATGAAAATCCAGCAAATGGTTCTTGGGGTATCTCGCTGACAAGCTTAACATGTAGGTTAACGTGCTGAAATCTTCAAAATGTCGCTGTGACCTTGAATGTTACGTGAAGGTCACCAATGTCGACTGGGTGGTCCTGTGCCTTTCCTATATAAAGCTTGGTGTCAAATATGATGAAAATCCAGTGATAGGTTCTTGAGGTATCCCGCTGACAAGGGTAACACATTAAAGTCTCCTTGTGAACCTGAAATGAAGGTCAAGGTCACCAAACCTGACAGGGGCCTTTCGCAATATTTCAGCCATATCGTGACGAGAGCAGCAATACAGAGTATGACATATATTTAAAGGCTATAAAATCCTGTCGCCAAAGATCAGTACAACAACTAGTACATCACATTTTATTTCGATTCTAGTACTTTTTGGGTTGAGTCCCATCCGGGATTCGAACCCGCACCCTCAGAGTCAGGCACCTAATCGCAAGCACACAAAGTCAGACGCCTAGACCGCTCAGCCACCGCGGCTTCAACAAAAATGGAAGTCGGACAACTGGTTGTCTAGACTGCGGACTTTGTGTACCCCTCTGATAAGTGTTAATTGGCACGGCTCCCACGGCCGAAAGCTATGAACTACACAATGCCAAAAAGTACTAGAATCTGTACTTTACTAAGAAAGTGTAATCCCAAATACAACATACGTTACATTTGACCACTTTCTAAAATGGCATTGTGTAGTTCAATCTAAAAATGGACTGTAGATCGTCAACAAATGGGAGGTAGATCACCGTACTAGGGACCATGGGGACTTAGATGACATCTCTTCAGCTGCTGGCTGATTGTATGAAAGTTTAGCTAAAATTAAAATCACGAAAATACTACGTTTTAAAGTTGGTAAGTTTAAATGTACTTGAAAGTTTTGGGACTTTTGTAGCCTTGCAGGAGGTATCAAATGAAGATAATAACAAACAAAGAAGGCGATATCAATATTTATTGAGTTAAACTAAACTCAGATTAACACATCTACTTCAGTACAATTGCATACATGTGACATTCAGTTGTATTGACAACTAATATTTTCGTCATATAAAAAATATCAACATAATTTTGTGAACAAACGGACTGAATCTGCAAATAGGCAATATGTGTTATAAACAATTTCTAGCAATGGTGGTAATATAATTTCTACATCAGCTCATCTCCATGTAAATAAAACAATCCGTGCAGCCTTCGACCTTGGTTCTAATGGACATTCCAAATATAATGTAAAGTAAGTCTTCATCCATATACAAGTTATCAACAGCTTACAGTAAACTTTTACAGAAGCCACTCAGATAGGCATACATAACAGTAGATTTGAACTCTTAATGAAATATGTGTCGTGTCCTAATTGATTTGCATTCAATATAGATATATTGAATACGGATAACATTAATTTAATGTCACACACTCGGATTATTGTAATAGTTCCCATAAAGACCTAAAAAGGGTTCCTCTAATATGAGTTACAAAAGAAGCATAGTGTTTACTAGAACATCTAAACTACAAACACTGCAAAATTCGACACTTTAAATCAACTAGTCCAGGAAGGGTTTTATCTGAGCTCGACAGAGGGTGTAGCAATTTCCTTTGAGGCATCCTCGCGTGTCCTGAAGCATGAACACGGATGGCGCGCTTCTGCCATTCTCTTGAAAAACAGTGGGGGGTGCTGTTGTACTAAACAACCTTAGCGCTAAGATTATCTTAAATCGAGATTATGGTATGGGAGTTAGGGTCACCTTAGCGATAAGATCGCTTTGAACAATGGCACGCAGGTGTCTTGTACTTGTTCCTAGGTAGAGGCCAACTCGAAAGTCGTCTGCTCCGCGTCTGCTCCGCCATCACTGTGTTGTTCCGTTGATGTGAGCCTTACTAGGTATACAGGATTCGTATGTGTATCTGGAGTGTTGTCTGGCAAATTCCTTCAAACAAAAATAAATCAATTTATCAAACGTCGACAGCACAATAACGCACATTTACATACGTATTAAGATACTATCAAAGTGAAGAATACAACTTGCAAAAGCAAACTGTAAACAAGTGATGACTGTCAGATCTGCCTAATCAGACAAAGTACACAATTAGATATTACCATGCCTATTGTGAAAATTTAAAAGAAAAGCAAAAGTAAAAGTGAAAATATTAATTACCAAATTTGACGTCTTTGTTTGTACTTGCGATCTACGTAAAAGGCAACACCTAGGCAGGGCACAAGAATGCAGACAAGTATGGCAAGAATTTTCGGGATATTCGGGATACACTCATAGGTCGCCAGCCTGTCTTCACAATCATACAGAAGGGAACAGGGGCTATTCAGACATTCGTTGATTTCCTCCTCGCAGAACTGTCCTTCGTAACCAGCTACACATTCACAGTGATAGGCCTGAAAGCTGTTTGCTCTGCCTGGATGTTCACATGGTAAAGACGGGTTTCTTGGAGCACAGCTACCATGGTAACATGGGCTGGTGAGGACAAACACGTGGATGGAGAGGGCGTGGCTGTAGCTCTTCATCTTATCAACAGCCAGCAGTGAGAACTGGATGCTTCCGTGGAATTCCTTGAGGGTCTTCAGCTTCAGGTCATGTTTGCTGATAGTGTTCCCTGAAAACCTCACGGTCAAGGTTTTGTATGTCTCTTCATCCTCCCCAGGCGCATCAACCTGTGTAAGTGTAAAGTTGGCTGCCAGTCCCCTTGCATCCTTTTGAATGATTGTCAACTCTTCAGGGTCATCAACATCTGCGATCCAAAACGATCCAAGAGAATGATCCGTTAGATTTCCTTCAACATACACCTTGTGAATACTTTTAACAAATGATGGTATTGGCGACTGGGTGTCCCTCTGGTAGAAAGTGACAGGTGGATCATTAACATTAGACACGTTGATGAGTATTCTCTTAGTAACTGTGGCTGGTTGAATTCCTAGATCATGTATGAATACCTCGGTTGCCTTTACGAGAATACTATCATAGTCATTAAAATCTTTCTCTGGTCGGTAGGATAGAATTCCCTCTGCTGTGAGGTTGGCTTCACCGTGATGAGGACGCTCCTCTACTGTAAATGTTAAATTATCATGCTGCAGATCGTGGTACTTGATGACTTGCTTCAGAAAGCTGTCCTCGACACATTGGATAACACTGGTATCAATGATGGGAGGTGTATTGTTCACATGTTTAGACACAATTGCTCCGGAAAACATTCTTGGACTCTTGAAAGGAAGCGTTGCCCTCTTCTCACGTGTACCTGATTTCGTCAAGCTTCTCTTAAATACTAAATTGCAGATCTGAAAACAAAGTTATAAATTCAGCATTATTAATTGATCGGTATTTGTGATATATACCTGTCACTAAGTAACTACATCATATGCTCAGTCAAAGAATTAATGGAACACCAGATCCTTTGCGAAAATGTGTTTTAATGGTGCATGTTTGCAAAGCTAATTTAACTGGTTTTGGTGATGATATCACTGATTGTTCAGTAACGGGTATGTTCTCCATGATAATC